GGTGCGGGGTGGGAGTGGCGGTGGTCAATGGACGCGAGGCAAATTGACCCACGTACCCCTTCTTTGCCATGAGAAAAGGGAACTGGGGTGCCGCGGGGCCTGGTCGCTTCCGGGGGTGGGAGACATCCGGGAGGACGATGGGGCCACAGCGTCGGTTTTCGTTTGTCCTGGGGCTTGGGGTGCTAGACGATTGGGCCCCAGGGGAACGGTGGAAATACCCCGGGCCGCCCGGGGGGCCTCTCCGCCCCAAAGCCCCCGCCCGGCCTGCACTGGGCCGCCCCGCAGACCCAGTGGGCCTGGGAAAATGGGATTCTGCTCACGAAGCAGGCCGTGGGGAGGGAGCGGGGGTGGGGCGGAATCCTGGGAAGGGGCCTAAGCGTGTGCATGCAAAGCGTGTGCACGCAGTCAGCTCGGTCCCGGAGCTCCTGGGAGACCTCACGTCCACATGCCCCAAGTCTTGAGGGGCCCGAAGCCGCCGCCGGAGTCCCAGAAAACGAGCTCCACCTGATCCATTGGAAGAGACGGGTCCTGTGTTGGTTGGGGCTTTTTCTTTTTATCGCATGGCTATTGTCTTGTACGGTCCGTGGCTTGGAATCCATCGCCCGGTCGTTACCTAGAAGTTGAGAATCCTTCCCTGTATATACAGCAGTTCGGAAAGCAGGAGTTTAACCGTAACCGGGACGGACTCTTTCTCAATAAGGGCGTCCATTGGGAGGAGCTGATGTGACAAATAAAGCAAAGAAACCTAATCGCCCTGCCGGAGCCCAGAGCGTCCGCCTTTTAATATTTAGTCCTTGTAAAGGGCTTGGGGAAGGCGTTTCTTTGTAGCGGCCCCTCCCCCCATTCCTCAAGCGTAAGCAAAACCTTGGCATCGCCTTAAAAATCCTCGTCCCTGTCAGTTTGCAGCGCCTCTAGGCGTTATTTCCTTTTTCCTGCTCCTACCCTCCGTGCTCATAACCCTCACCGCACACAAGTTGCTGGCCAAACTGGTCTTCCAGACTTTCTGCCCTTATTCATGTTCACCTCTTCTTTATCATGACTGGCCTTCAAAGGATTTAGCAACTTTAACCTTAGCTTACCTAGTGAGTCTTAGTTATTTCCTCAAGTCATTTCCTCCGCTCCTTCCCCCACAGGCACACTGAGTTCTATCCTTGCCTCTCCATCCTGATTTCTCCCTCCTCTTTGCTAACCCAAACAGTTCAAGTCGCCCATCTATTATTACTCGGCAAACCTTTGGAAGGCTCTGTGTTCTACTTTCAAATTCCCCTTTGTGTGTTATGTGCCCAGTGAAGTGACGTTTGCATAAGTTCTCTGTAAAGAGTTGTTTAAAAAAAGAAGACAGATGAGAGTACACGTGTATGCGTGTATAGGTGTCCTTGCTTGGTGTATGTGTCTTTGTATATACTGCATGTAGTAGGGGGCTTCAAAAAGTTCTTTGAAAATTTTACTGTCTTTCAATTCCATTTTTCCACTAACTTCTTGAAGCTCCTTAGTACATTCATATCTATATAATAGAGCCCATGGGGGCACAATTCTAGAAACATCTTAAGTACATCCGAACACTTGGTTGGATTGACTTAATGGGCATGAACGCTAAAGACCATCGATTGGGATATCTAGGTCAACGGACATAACAGTTCATAAAGAAGATGTTTTACATTCTAGTTTGATGAGTAGCATCAGTAGTCTTAAAAACTTGTGAGCAGCCATCTAATATACAACTATTGGTGTTGCCTGGAGCAAAGCAGAGTGAAGAAAAGCAAAGACTCATAAAAGCAGTTTATTAATAAACAGAAAGACAGTTTATTCACAGGGCTCATGTCACACAAAATAAAGCCACCTTGAGACCAGACCTTCATGACTAGGGACACAGCAGGGTCTCGATTAGAATAGGAGAAAAATTTAGAACAAAACTCAAATTCATTTTAAAAAGAAAAGACCAGATTTACTATACTGATAAGACATTGGAGTAACTCCCAGGGACTATACCCCAAACAGACCCTTTTAACCTGGAACTGAAGCCACTCCCAGAGGTCACCTTTTAGCCAAAGAATAGGTAGTCCTTGAAGTGACACCCAGGGGGCTTGTGCTCCTTAGAACAATGAACTATACAAGACCAAAGGTGAGAAGGCAAGGAGGGAACTGAAGGGGCAGAACTGGGAAGGTGGAAACACTGTCAGATGCACACTGTGAGATCCGAGGGAGGTCATGGCCAATGTCATGGAACAAATTATAAATTGTTGAATAGAAGGCTAGCTTGATTGAAAACCCCCTAAAACACAAAATGTTGGTGGTTGTTTTGTTTTTAAGATAAAGTAGGGGGTCTTGTGTATCTACTTGTAATGATACCTATTTTTCTAGTGCCCCTGCAAATACCCAAGGGTAGTCGTACACTCTTTCTAGAACTCTAGTCTGCAAAATGTGACGGAAGGTTGCCTTTCCTACCTATGGTTGAGGATCAATTAATTGAGGTAACTGCAAAAAGCATTTTGAAAAGCATAAGCATGACATTCTTCCAGAATTCTGTTGTAGCTCACATTACACTTTAAAAATGGTAGTCGAATGCATATGGAAGCCTGGAAATGACCAGGTGCTATAAATTTAATTTTTACTCAGATCCATCCATCTTGCTCTTCTTGTGTTCAAATATTTAATGTTTTATTTAAGAGAAAACATTTGTCTATAAAGATTGCTCAGTTCTACTCCTAAATGCTTCTTGAACTATATAGTTCTGTCTTAAAAGAAGTATAATTTATTAGGGATTTATTATTTGATACTTTGGCTTAAAAGAAGGGTACCAAAAATCTGAGTATTGGGAGAAGGATAAAGCCAATTAAGGAAAAGTTGAAACAGTGGCTTCATTTTATGACATCCAAGGATGATAACTTTCTGAATGATGGAGAGGCTAGGCTTTTACTTCAGCACTTAGACGTTTATTGAGTGTGATGTGGATAATAAGCATAGAAGATAGAAGGACCGTGCTGACTCCAGGGTGGTATTTAAATGTGAAGTGAGTCTAAATGCTAAGCAATTGATCATGGCTTGGAGGTGGGCCCATAACTTCTGGGTTGAGGTAGCTGGGTTTTGAATAATGTCGGGGAAGAGGTACTGCCACATCTCAGGCAAGGAAAACCGTTTGAACAGAGGCTAAAAAAAAAGAAATTTAAGGAAGGAATAATTTTAAGAAGCTAGGTTGTAGTGGGAGAGCGAACTGGAAAAATAATTAAGGGCCACATCTTAGAAGGCCTTAAAGTCATGTTCAAGAATTTGAATTTTGATCTGTCGTGTCTAGTGGCACTATATAATTATGAAGGATGCATTTAGCTTGACATAACCTGGAGGTTACCTCAAATAGTAACAGGCAAGGATTAAAATTATTACCCACCATTACAAAGGACTCTGCTTTTTTCTGTTTTGAAAAATGCTGTTTCTTGTTTTATGTGACCCTGGGGAGAAAACTGGGGCTACTTCCTGTGTGTGTTTTTCCTGGGGGTGCCATGTTGAGGTTCCTGCTCTTACTAGTCTTTTTTCCAGGCCCACAGTTGTATCTTTCCATTTGTTCACTTGGCCACACCGGAGGTAGTTAAAGGTTTATCAAAGACCATCTGTTCTCATGAGTGTTGTACTCATACTTGTTCTTTCTTGTTTCAAGTCTTTGCAGTGCCTTACATCTTTGTATTGAATTTCCAAGCAGGTATTTGCGTGGAGAATAATACATATTAAAGATGAAGTGAAGACTTCATAAATTCAGAGATCTAAAATACAAACTTCATAGCACTCTTAAAAGAAAGTTTTCTGATTCTGCATTGTTCTCGTATTCAGGCTGAGAGTTACTGAATTCAGAAATACAAATGTGGAAGTACTTTGAGTTCATGGTAGTTCCTGGGCTATATCTCTCATGGCAATTCAAATATCTTTGATATGGATCCTCGTGATTTTAGTAGGTAGACATTTATATTGAAGAGCTAGGCTAAAAATCCCCCAAAGATAAGGCTATAGCAGATTATATACTAGAATAATAGGGAGGGTTTTTCTTGTTTTGTTTTATAAGGAGAATTTATTCTCTGGAAAGTGGATACATATTATACAAAAAAATTAAAAGGCACATCTTTGCAGATTTTATATTGTATAACCCTGTGATATAGTAGGTTATGTGTTGGGTTGAGACCCTCAAGGTCAGCAATAGGAAACTACCAGCCGCCCTGCAGGAGAGAGATGGAGGCTTTCTGCTCTGAGAGTTAGTCTCAGAACCTCATGGGTCAGTTCTGCCCTGCCTTGTAGGGTGCTATGAGTCAGAACTGACTGGACAGCAGTGAGCTTGGGGATGTACTCAATGTGGACAGTGATTTGTGTATCCATATCCTTTTACACAATGTTAGCAAATGTGGTTTTTCATACCTTGGACTCAGAATAGTAATCTAAATCCTACCAAATACTGACTCTGGTGGATAAGTAAGTTCTTTTTTTAAGCCTTGACTGTCAATTCTCCTAGAAATAAATCTCAGCTCTTTCCCTAGTCAATTCTGAGGCTGTGACTACAAGGGTTCTTGGTTTCTCTTCCTTCAAAATTACGAGCCTTTCAGAAGGGACTAGAACTTCATTATTAGAAGGCCCGGATGGTAAGAAACTGACCCCTTAACGCCCCAATGTATGAAACTTGAAAGGAGATCAAAAGTAACTTCCTGTTAGTAAGGGACCATCCCTTTGCCGTAAGCTGTATTAGCTGTCATCCAGCAAACAGCAGACCTGGTCCTCCCTGCTGTAGGAAAACAAATGACGGAACTATCCGTTAGTGTATGCCAAAATTGCTTCTGTTCTTTGCATTGTTGAGATCCTGTGCTGTTTCTGAGACTGTAGGAGTGTCTTAGACAAAGTAAACATTTTCTCATTACTGTTTATATTCGGGGAGGAGGAGATGGTTAAGGGCTGCATGTTACAGGGTGTGTCTGAAATTTAGTCAAAAGACCTTCCTCTTCTCACTCCACTTCTGAAGAACGTTTGAAGAAATGACAATAAAGTATATACTCAAGTTTCTTTCTCTTTTTATTAGAGCAAATTTTCCAGAACATAAAGCAAGAATATAGTCGTTATCAAAGATGGAGACATTTAGAAGTTGTTCTTAATCAGAGCGAAGCTTGTGCTTCGGAAAGTCAGCCTCCCTCCTCAGCCCTCACAGCACCTAGTTCTCCAGGTAAGCATGCTTTGGTGTTGCAAGGCCCATTAAGACTATTGAGTCTTAAAATTGGGAGAGACCTTAGATTGGTTTGGTTGGACTTTCATCCACCCAGTGCAAGCGTACCCGCTATATAACTGCATTGTTTTAATACTATAACTGCTAGCCACAGGGGGCTAAGAGCAAGTCAACTTTAAAATTCAGTTCCTCATTCAAAGTAACCATATTTCAATGCCCAGTAGCGAGGGGTGGCTATCATATTGGACAGCACAGAGGATAGTGTTGCTCTATAATATCACTGATAGGTGATCAGACAATTTGGGCACCAGCTGTCTCTATCAAACAGTCACAGGCCAGTGCTCCTGATCTTGTTTCCCCACACATATTCGACTTTTTAATAGTTCTAAGGGCTCAAAGTTGTTCACTTCAATTCAGAATGGTCTCATCACCTGAGTGCCCTGGTTCTTGAACAACCCCCTTTCTGTTTAAGCTAGCAAATCTCTCATTTTCTCTTGAAATTTTAGTACTATAATTTTGGAAGTAATTGAATATGCTGTGGGCAGAGAAGCAAGTATAAATAATGGCTAGCTACGGGTGTTTTGAACAGATTGCATTTGTAGAGCAAACACTTGACCCTGTTGGTTTTAGTAGGAAATGATTTGTTTCGGGTGTTAGATGCTTTACAGATGACCTAAGAGGGCTGACGAAACAGATTCTCGACTGACCTTTGAGGAGCACCCCGAACTGCTGCTCCTCTCCCAACCACTGTGGAATCCGGCTGCAGTTGCCAGCTCCAGCACCAAGCTGCCCAGTCTTCGCCTCCCTCACCACCAAAATAGATACGTGGTGCCTTCTTACCTCACCCGCTTGTCTTAGATCTGAATTCAGATCTTTCCTGGGTGAAGCAATTTTGAATTTTATCAGACTCTTAAGAGTCACTATAGAAGCAGATTAGAATCTGTCCACTATGTCATATGTGGTTTTAATGTTAGATTTTCCTATTTTCTGGCACTCAGTGGAGAGTTACATTTCTAACTTGACTATTTCATGCACATTGCACTCTTCAGAAGGAGCAAGGTTGAGGGGTGAGGTGCCCAAAGTCTTTCATTGGTACTTCAAAAGAAATGTGGCTGTGCCTGGAAGCTCACTTACATGGATTTACCCTAAGAGCCAATGACTTTGCTGCCCCTTTTATATTGGGCATATCATTGGTCTCTCCAGCCTCACATGCCCCTCTTCTATCTGTATTACCTGGGGAGCTTAAAATAAAAGATTCCTAACTCAGACTAAATCAGAATATGCACCATATATGAAAATTACTGTGCAGAAATTACAGTGCCCCTCTTTGGCTAAACACAGGTCTAAATGATCTCCAAAGATCTGCATAGCTTGCATATGCCATGAAGACATTTTATTCTTTCCTTTGCCAAATGAGCCTCGAGTGCCAGCCCACGTTGTTAAGGGCATCAGAACCTAATTCTGTTCAACAAATGCAGCAACAAAAAACATTTTAAGGCATTCCTTGTGAAGTAGTGAAAAATACAATTTTTCTAAATACACATTCTGTCCTGCGGAGTGTCTGTATCCAAGTGTTGGTTGTGAGCCGTAGAACTAGAATGTGTTATGTAAATTAGAGTTATCTTTTGGCCAGGTTCTTCCTGGATGAAGAAGGACCAGCCCACTTTTACTCTCCGACAAGTTGGAATAATATGTGAGCGCCTCTTAAAAGACTATGAAGATAAAATTCGGGAGGAGTATGAGCAGATCCTCAATACCAAACTAGCAGGTAGGACAAAGTCGTATTCAGTAATGATTAATCCCAGTTAAGTAAAAAGCAGGGGTTCATGCTAGAGGCTTATGAATATTGAAGGTGGTCCTTTTAGTGATTGTAAATAATATATTATGCGGAAGGAAGTTGCATTTGCATTTCTGAAACAAGCTAAGCCAAGCTCTTGCAAAGATCTTCATATGAATGAAGTTACCCAGTGGGGCATTTGGACCAGCTGGTGGGTAAACCAACCTTCCAACAGGTGCCTGGGAGGCCTGGAGTCAGCCTACTCAGACTTCCTGGTAGGATTGGGGAGCCCTCCATCCTGTGAATCTGGAGATAGAGTAGAATAAAAGCAAGGAAAGCCCAGTGCCTGGAACAAAGGGCCTGCACAGTGATGGCAGCAAGTCGAGCTTTCTATGAAAGAAAAGGACCTGAATCTGGAAAGTAAAGTAATACCAGTCTCTAAAAGAGGGTCATACTACAGACTGTAGGCATCCACTTCTATAACTGTATTGTTTGTTAACCTGGTGACCCCACAGCTTGGTTCCTCAGAACGTTAATGTCTGCTTAAAAATTGGAACTAAACTTGTTGCTCCCTTCTCCCACCTCAAAGTTATTCAGACCAGCTGCCTCTATCTAAGTCACTTCTCTGGTCAATTCTTTAGCTACCATTAAATTTTCTTTTCTTTTTTTCTGGGTAGTGAGGTGGGGGGCGGGCGGTGAGGGGTGGAGGGGAGGTGATAGGGGTGTCAGGGGTATGCACAAGAGTCTCCTAAGGGAGGGAGAAAGCCTTTCCAGCTAGCATGGCCAGTATGGTGTTTACGTTTCACTTTTCCATTTTCTTCTCTTGGAAGATGTTTCTTCTGTGGAACTTTATACACTTAAGTGATAGGAAATTTTCTTTTCATTTTCTGGCCTTCTATGTCTTTGTAACAGTTTATGAAGTTCTGAAAGGAGCTTCCTGTCCCATAGGATCAGTACCCAAATCTAGGAACCTGGGATTGGGCTCTTTATATCTGAGCACAAGGAACTAATCTCATATTGAGAGGGAGGGAGTAAACTAACTGGGAAGCTGAGTCTTGAAAATTTGGGAAATGCTTTCTGTGGCTAGTATATACTGTCTTTCCCTCACAGAACAATATGAATCTTTTGTGAAATTCACGCACGATCAGATTATGCGACGATATGGTACAAGGCCAACAAGCTGTAAGTATTGCCAAGTTCTCTTTGAATTTCTTAAGTTCCAAGAGCAAGATTTTGACATTGAATAGCCTGGCTTCCAAGCGTAAAAAGTAATAGAATACCTAACATTTATTTACATATGTGTGTGTCCAACGCTATCTTAAATGTGTAAGCCCTTTAAATCTATACCAGAGATTATTTAATCTTCACTGTAACCCTCTGAGGGAGGCAGAGCTGTTACTAACCCTATGTTGTAGGTGAAATAACATTGCAATCACGAGGTGTCGAAGGGATCGGGTATAAGGCATCATCAGAACAAATAATCTTACCACAGTGAATGATGGGGGGAGTGCGGAGTGGAGACCCAAAGCCCATTTGTAGGCCACTGGAGATCCCCTTGCAGAGGGGTCTCGGGGAGGAGATGAGCCAGTCAGGGTGCGATGTAGCAACGATGAAAAATACAACTTTCCTCTAGTTCCTAAATGCTTCCCCTATCCCACCCCCACTATCATGATCTGAATTCTACTTTTTCAAGTCTGGCTAGACCAGAGGATGTGTACTGTACAGATAGGAACTGGAAACACAGGGGATCCAGGGCGGATGATCCCTTCAGGACCAGTGGTGAGAGTAGCGATTCTGAGAGGGTAAAGGGAGAGTGGGTTGGAAAGAGGGAACCGATTACAAGGACCTATATGTGACCTCCCTGGGGGACGGACAACAGAAAAGTGGGTGAAGGGAGACATCGGACAAGGCAAGATATGGCAAAATAATTTATAAATTATCAAGGGTTCATGAGGGAGGGGGGAGCGGGGAGGAAGGGGAAAAAATGAGGACCAAATGCCGGGGGCTTAAGTGGAGAGGAAATGTTTTGAGCATGATGAGGGCAATGAATGTACAAATGCGCTTTACACAATTGATGTGTGTATGGATTGTGATAAGAGTTGTATGAGCCCCTAATAAAACGATTAAAAAAAAAATTTATCCAAACTTGTATAGCTAGTGGTTCAGGCTAGGATTGCAACCTAGGTAAGTGACTGTGGTTTATTTATTAATTGCTTTGGGGGGAGGAGGTAGTTCTCATAGTTTGTTTAAGAAAGTTGATTCCTTAAGGGAGTTTATGGGGTACATGGTTAGGATTTGTTGATTCTAGACATTTTGCAGCTACTTAAAGCATACATTGTAGATGGTGATACAGCAAGCCTGTGAGCATCGGTCAGATTTAATAACTTTACAGTGGTTTAATCACATATATTATTGCTAAATCACATATATTATTAGTTAATAAGAAAATGGCATATTTGCTAATAACTCCACTCACTGGTTTCTTTCTTTTTTATCCCTGGTTTTTATAGATGTGTCCTGAGGCTTTCTGCATATCTGAGTACCAGGTTTAACCTCAAGAGATGGCTGCTGTACACTTTTTGCAACTGGTTTGATATCACATTTCAGCTCCAACTTTGCATCCTGAGAACACTTCAACGTTTCTGCGGGTCCATTTTTATACAACTTGAAAGACCTTGAAACTTTCTGGTTGCCACAAGCATATCTTTCTTTTCTGCTCATCCAATAAACAGCTGTGCCCTACTGTGATAGATTTTCCAAACAAAATACCTGGAGCAGCAGTTTAGCAAAATATGCCTTCAGTGGCACACAACAAATGGAGTTTCCCCAAGCACAGTTCTGTAAGAAGTGTGTGTGAGAATGTGTGTAAATGTGTGTATGTGTATTTTAAGTTATTATTTGTATTGTGCAAAATTTTTGATCTTGGGGGTTCTGGCTGTGAATATGATGCACGACAATTATGGTTAAAAACATTTGCTTGGTCTACAAAAGATCATTAATGTTTTGCGACCATATTAGTTGTAACAGTGGATTGTTTTATGTATAGGTATTACTGTTAAATACAGGGACTGTTTCCAGGCACAGAGTATGAATCATAAGTTAGAATGGATGTTAGCTGTGATTGAGATGACATAGCAGGGGTCTGCGGTCCTCGGTCTGCAAACCCATGGTGAGGAATTCTAGAACAAACTGGAGCGATGGGCCATTTGACACACAGACTCTGCCGAGCCCTGTGAGAAGAATACTTGGACTCCACGCCTTAAAATACCCACATGGAGTCTGCGCTCACCTCATTCACAGTCTGAGAGCTCCCTGGATACTGACCCTCTCAGGAAGAAAGATCTCCCCGGGAACAAGGGCATCAGGGTTTGCTTGAACATAGCATCGGTGAGCACAGGACTGGGCCAGGCCCCAGCAGCACTGCTGCTTGGAAGGAAGCCGCTTCACCTTTGTGTCAGTCATTACAAACAGAATTTGGATCCTTGGTTGGGGTCCCCAGATTCTTTTCAGAGGTGTCCATGTTCAACTGCTTGGGCTTTGTTTTGGCAACCTCCTGCCTGGAGTTTCTTACAGGCTGTTCTCTACCTGTGCCCAAGGCTGGGGGCAGAGAGTAGCCTTCTTCCAGGCTGTTCTCCACCTGTGCCCAAGGCTGGGGAGCAGAGAGTAGCCTCTGTTTTGAGGAGGTGGAAGTTATGTATGCATTTATTTTTTACTGTGACTTGTTCAGGACCACATTTTACAAAATGCCTTTTTTCATTTATTATTTCTGGAAAGGAAAGTTCTATTAAAATTGTTTTAGTTTGAATATAGACTAGTTTTTTTAATTAGGATTTATTTTGTGGAAAGAAAAAAAACCTGAGTTTAATTCAAATGTATGTCAATACCTTCCAAAGTAAGGTAATATTCAGAGACAGTTGTTCTGATCAGAAGGCTTAGAGAAATTTCTGGAATATTCACATTCGAAGATTCCTTATTAATGAATGTCTTTGACTTAAATCTAACCAAAAACTGCAACATTATTCTTTGTACATTTTCATTATATAGTGTTAACAAGCTTAGTTGCAAACAAATAAAATACTTAAGCTATTTGTTTACCTTGCCTTTTTACTACAGTGATAGTGTTTTATCAATTCAAGTATTTTCTGGGAGGTTGTTATCACCATTTGCCCAGTTCAACATCACATAAAAGGATAGGCCTTTTTAAAGCCCAGCAGTGAGCTTTAAATGATTAATTTTTACTTCCTATTGGAAGAATGATTTATTTCATCTTTTCATTTCCCAAGGTAGTCACTTCTTCCTGGAGAGGAACACAGCAGTGGCTGGAAGGTGGCGGCCCTGCAATGGGATATTCACCCCTAGCCAAGGGAAGGCTGGGCCAGGAGTGGGGCACACTGCCTCATGGTGGGCTCCTGGTCATAGACTCGGTGTCATGGAGTCACTTGCAGATGTCATTCCTTTCCGCTAAAGGACTTCTGGTGGGTTTCTGTAAGGAAGCTAACACCCCCCCACTGCACTCAGAATTGTGGGGCTATTGGGTTAGGTTAAGGGGCCACAGGGGAAATACCGTATGTACTCGAGTATAAGCCAACCTGCATATCAGCCAAGGCACCAAGTTTTACCACAAAAACTACATTAAAAATGTGCTGGAAAACTCGGCTTATACGCAAGTACTTACGGTAAGCATACCACCATGGCTAGGTATTGGGATCTTCTTTAAGGGAGGAGGGAGCCTTATTTCCTTCGTTTATTTTCATTTAGTGAAGTCTTAAGGTACCCCACCCACCCACCCAAAATGAAGTTGTGCTGGGCAGAGCTTTTTTAGCACACATCCTCCCCCACAAGTATTCAGCAACTCCCTTTCTGGTCACAGTGAATTTTTTGGTAAAAGCAGATGCGCTTGAATCTCTATATTTGATGATGGCTGATTTAAGAGAACTGCATGCAGCTATGAAATTGTTTACTGCGGAGAAAAATGCCACAGGAACTGTTGTGATGTTGAACACACAAGGACAGAGCTATGGGAAAAACAAGTGTGCAAGTGGTTTTCTCATTTCAAAAACGTGAAGTGTTGATTGATGACAAACCTCGTTCTGGTTATCTGTCAACTTCCCCAAAGGATGAAAATGTTGACCAACCCATAGTGCATTTGGAGTGTGTTCCACCAGGTCAGACTGTTATCAAACTTTCTATTTAGAGGTTCTGAAATGATTGCATAACAGTGTGCTACAAAAAAGGCCTGATTTGTGGCAGATGGTGGACTGGTTTTGCCACACGACGCCACCTCACACAACCCATCAGTTTTTGGGGAAAAATGGCATGCCTCTTGCCCCATGCACCTTACTCACCTGACCACGGCCCTGTGACTTCTTTTTGTTTCCTTGAATAGAGAGGGATGTGAAAGGACAGCGATTTGACAATGTAGAAGTGGTGAAGGAAAAAAAATGAAGGAGGTGTGGTCAGCCATCCAAACAGGAGTTTGAAAAATGTTTCTAAGAATGGAATAAAAATTTAAAAAAACCAAAACAACAAAAACTAATGGAATCACAGATTAGACAAATGTATTAAGTGTAATGGAGAGTGCTCTGAAGGTGATAAGGTTGTTTTCTGAAAAATTAATACATAGCTTTGAAAAAGGTTTTATTGGTTACCCCCTCGTATATACGATGGGGCTTCAGAAAGCTTGTGGAAAACGACTGAAAAAAAATAGTGGAATTTTCCCCAACACTTTTTTTTGAAGGTGATAGGTTTTGTAAAAACATTTAAATACATAACTTTCGACATTAAGATTCCTGTTTTTTGGGGGGTGGGTACCCCCTCATTGTCTTGACTAGATCAGAGGATAAAGCAGGGCTCAAAGTGCCTGAGCCGTTGGCAAGAGCTCCTCAGGAGTGAGAACATTAGGAAATACAAGAATTTAGGCCACCCGAACACTTGGGAGTCACGCCTACCATGGAGGTGTGGATGGATGGGTGGAAAGTTCTCACTAATGTGCTAGGTGAGGTTTACACGTCAAGTGACTAAACTTGCTGTTGTCGGGAAAGGGGGCCTAAAGGATGTACATTATTGGCTTTTGTCTTTGGAATAATTCCTATAGAGAGGGTATCTAGACAACATGGGCATAGTCTATCCAGTGAAAGTGCTACATAGGCTTCCTTACTGTGATCATCAAACAAGATGACAAACCCTGGCTGCAGCAGCAACTTGGCCTTCTCTCCAGTATGTCTGTGGTTAACCTCAAACTCTTAGAGTCTTGTATTAGAATTTCTACCTTTAAATACTTGAGTAGGAAGAAGATGAATAAGAAATGAAATCAGTAGTGATTTTCAGCAAGTCTATTTTGTAACTATAGCAGAGGTTTCAAATCTATGGCCTGTTTTTATAAATAAAGTTTTATTGGGACACAACCATGCCTTTTCATTTGCAATAATGCCTGTTACTCCTTTCACACTGCAACACCAGAGTTGAGTGGATGTGCCAGTGTAGGCCACAGAAAAAGTGTGCCGACCTCTACTAGAGCAATAATATACATGCTATGTATTCAGAGAGATTTTAAAAGGGCAAATGTTCCATTTATCATGGATTAGTGAGCTACTTGCCCTAATTTGTCATTCACAGTGACATTTAACACCAGGTTGTGAATCATTAGTCTTTATGGAAAAATTCCCTGCTTCTAAGTGAAAACAGTTAAAGTGAATAGCTTACCACAGAAGTTAATGAGCACCTTTTTAGAGCAGTGCTGCTCAAGAATGGGGTCAGAGCACGGACTTGCTGTTGCAGGACAGCAGATTGAGAGTGACACACTGGCATACTTCATTTTGAAAGTTTAGACATAAGAGCACGAGTTTAAAGGTAGTTTATAAATGTTCATAAGGAACTGAGACTTAAACAACCTTGGAGATGGCTTTCTGAAAACAGCTTCAGAGGCGTGATAATCTATGGTTGACTGACCTAGGAAGAACAAGCATGAGTTTGCCTAGGGAATCATCTCCAACTGCCCGCTCCAAATCCTAATTTCAGATAAATAGCACTTGGTTGTATGGTGGGCCTAACATACTATGTATATGATGTTTTCTTCTGCCTCTAACTGATGCTTAATAGTGCCTTGCTCGCAGGTTCCTACTTCTCTGTGGACAGTATATTTGAAAAATTATTTGTTGTATTAAAGTGAGTACAAGAATGGTGGTATCCACCTTCAGAAAGGATACCTGTTGGCCTGTACAACCAATCTTACTTAACATCCTAGTTCCAGTTGAAGATTGGAGGGTCTTTGGATCTTTCGGGTGACCCAGTCAGGTGACATGGCCATGTGAGGTCTGGTTTACTTTTTTCCACCTTGTCTGAAAGGTGTAATCCTTCGAGATCCCAGGGTAAGGTGGTGGTGGTTAGAGGTTGGCAAGGTTCCCATCGTGAGCTGGATTTTGTTTGGTTTGCTTTAAATCGTAACGTGCAGCTCGGGTGCCTGAGGGTTTGTTTCTGGATGGCAAAGGTAGGTTTGAGCTCTCAAGTTTACTTCCCTGACTTCTAAGTTGTGGCTCTATCATTCCTCATCACTTTGCTCTTGATGTTTTTAAGAGTGGTTTTTAATATTTCAGTTGTTTTGTAGTTGGCTTTAACGGTAAGTTGGTCCTAATTACCTGATTCTCCATTTCTAGACCTGGAAGTTTCTTAATATTTTGCCTCAGGAGCTTTGGTTAATTGGTAAAGACTTAAAACCTGGCTTCATGCCCAACTTCCTGTTAATGAAAGATAGACGAGGGGAGCTTCAAAAAGTTCAAGGAGAAATGTCATTGTCTTTTAATCCCATTGCTCCACAAATTTTAAAGCCCCTTCGTCTATAGCAGAAGTTCCTAACCTGTGGGTTGCCTAAGACCATTGGAAAACATATTTCTGATTGTCTTAGGAACCGAGACACCATCACTCTATTTGTATCGAGGAGGGTCCACCCACATGCAGATACGCCCACATACGAGTACCCGGGATGAAGACTTACCCATGCTACACCATGCTTCAAGACAAAATTTCATTTGTTGTTAGAAATATTTCAGAATATATAATTACATAGTTTTTGTGATTAATCACTATGCTTTCATTATGTTCAATTTGTAACAATGAAAATACATCATAAGTGGTCATCTAGCTCAGAAGCAACAAAGCCCACATGGAAGAAGCACACCAGCCTGTGTGATCACGAGGTGGCGAAGGGATCAGTTATCAGGCATCAAACAACAAAAAAATCATATCATTGT